AGTTCACGGCAGAGAAATGTACGATTGTGGATGCCATGCTGCCAGGTTACCAACCGCCCATCCTTCGGGACCGTACATCACAGGGTGGAGGCGTAGCTGTGTGGTTGCGGTCCGGTCTGGCCTACAGACGTCTGGAGCAGGTGAGCTGCGGTGACCTGGAGGTCATATGGATTACTGTGCAACTACAATCAGGCAACAACGTAGTGGTGTGTGCCGCTTACCGGCCAGGCTCGTGTTCTGGCAGCGACATCTCCATGTTCGAGCATATCGATAGCACAATTGACAGAGTATTGTATTTTTTGTATTGTATTGTATTTTATTACTTTACTTGGGCATTCCCAACAGACCCTAAGATCTTCTTACAGGGTGCCCAAGATGAATGAAATTGTTAAGTTCCTGGCAAAATGAATTGGGGATATGATTTGTGCGAAGGGATTCGGGAAGCGCATTAAAGCGGTCAGCACCAAGGAATGAAATAGATCTGTATCCAGCTTGAGTTTGCACAATGGGTAAGGAAAGGGAATAATTGACTTGGCCGCGGGTTACTCTGTCTGTGTGAGCGCAGTCACGGCGAAGGGAGAACATGTCAGAGAGGAGTGAACTGCAGATATTGTGGATGCAACGGAACACGAAGAATCTGGACTTAGTATGATATATGTTGCCCAAGCTAATTATATGGTATCGCTCAAGCAAGTATGATGTCCGCGTGAATGTGTCATGCTCAAATATGCATCTAAGTGCTCTCTTCCTTATGCATAGCAGCTGATCTCTCACATTGTCAGCGAGGCAGTGGACGTAGGCAGTGCTGGCGTACTCGAGCTTGCTTTGGACTACTGACAAGTAGAACTGCCTTCTGGCCTGGACAGCAAGGTTCCTCCTTCCACGTCGAAAAGAACCTAGTTTTTTCCGATGTCTTCCCTGAGGTAGTTAACGTGGGCACTGAAACTTAAAGTTGAATCGAGAGTCAGTCCTAGATACTTAAAGGGGAAGTTAAGGCAAAAATTAAAATTTCACCAGTTGTAGTCTTCGGGGTGCTGAGTCGAATGGTCTTGGTCCGAGAAAGCTGAGACGCTCCCTTCCTACTTGAATCCCAATCGAACTCGCGCACTTCCACCGAAACTGGGTGACTGCGCCCTACGAGATGGGGATTTGTATGCAAAATGTCACTAAAAGCGCCATTTCGTTCTTATAAAAACACGGATGACCGCGATTGGCCCATATGTTGTAGTCTTTTGGACGCTGAGTCGACTGGTTTTGGTCCGAAAAGGCTGCGATGCAGCGTTCGCCCCTAATTCCCAATCGAACATGGTTGAAGAAGCGGTCACGTGCTCCTGCGTACACCAGTCACCTGGTCACCGTGCCTGCAGGGTACAACTTACAGCCTGTTTTGACCTTTTTTGGGTGCAGTCCTGTCACTGGAGTTGAACCTTGTTGTGAAAGTTGTCGCCTGCTGGCGTGGTGACCAGGTGATTTTGGCACCCAGGAGCACGTGGCCGCTTCTTCAGCCATGTTCGATTGGGAATAAAGGAGGAACGCTGCATCGCAGCCTTTTCGGACCAAAACCAGTCGATTCAGCGTCCAAAAGACTACAACATATGGGCCAATCGCGGTCATCCGTGCTTTTATAAGAACGAAATGGCGCTTTTAGTGACATTTTGCATACAAATCCCCATCTCGTAGGGCGCAGTCACCCAGTTTCGGTGGAAGTGCGCGAGTTCGATTGGGATTCAAGTAGGAAGGGAGCGTCTCAGCTTTCTCGGACCAAGACCATTCGACTCAGCACCCCGAAGACTACAACTGGTGAAATTTTAGTTTTTGCCTTAACTTCCCCTTTAACTTCGTCAGACGGGGCAATAACAGTCGAACCACAGACAATGCTCAGGTTAGGTGGAGCAGAGTGCGGCAGCAAGGATTTAACATCATTATTGCCGGCGATTTCAATGTGCACAACCGAGCTTGGCTCCACAGCACCAGGACGAGCGTTGCTGGTGAAGCTGCAGAGGGCATGTGCGCACTGCATGGTCTCACCCAACATGTACTGGAACCCAACCGCGATGCTAACACGTTGGACCTGGTCATGACGGACTTCCAAGACCCCGTCCACATTCAGGTAAAAAAAAGGAAATTATCTTATCCGTTCCCGAAGGGAACTCACGACGGCCGCTAACACCCGATAAACCCTAGCGGCAGACCTGAACCACATTCAGGTACTGCCCCCAATTGGCAAGTCTGACCATGCTGTCATCATAGCTACATGTAGTTCTCAGCTGCAGAGAGAGAATAGCACGTGGAGAACCGTTTGGCGCTACAAGAAAGCAAAGCTGAGGCGTTTGGGAAGGATTTTGCTGGGAAATGCTCTCTTGTGGATGATTTCGAGGATGAGCCTCTCCCACATGTACAGCCTAAGTCTACCGCCCCCTTGCACCAAGTGAATATCAGGGAACCAGCTGTAGCCCGAGCCCTCCGTCAGCTTGACACCTCCAAAGCAACAGGACCTGACAACATCCCAGCTTGTGTCCTCAAGACGTGTGCAAACGAGCTTGCTGCTCCCCCCCCCCAGTACACCTCTTTGCCACGTGTTTCTCTATTGGAAGACAACCGGGGAAGTGGAAAGAGGCCAGAATAATTACAGTTCACAAGAAGAACTCCCGTTCACCCATCAGCCACTACCAACCAGTGTCCCTACTCAACACTATCTCAAAGGTAATGGAAGGCATTGTGAACCTCACAATCATGAACTTTCTAGATCGCCATAATGTTCTGTCTGCAAAGCAATATGGATTCCGCCGACGCCTGGGAACTGCAGATGTCCTGATGCTCCTACATCAGCAATGGAGTAGAGCTGCCGGTTCGGGAGGCTCAGCCCGTGGTCTTGCAATAGACATAGCTGGAGCATTTGATAAGGTGTTCCAAAAAGGTGTGATTCACAAGGCTGTTGTCTATGGGCTCAGGGGCCACCTTTTAACCTGGTTGACCGACTATCTATCAGCTCGGCATCTCCGTGCAGTAGTATCTGGCCTTGAGTCTAATGTCTTTCCCATTACCGCTGGTGGTCCTCAAGGAAGTATACTGGGGCCTGCTCTGTTCTTGTTATGCGTGAATGACAGTGGCACTACTCTCGGAGAGGGCGTAGATCTCGCTGTCTATGCGGACGACACCACGCTGTATCAGTGTCTCGCAGTGGGCGCAGACGTGAATGAACAAAGCCGTGTTTTGCAGCATGCAGTGGATGACCTCTCCGCCTGGGGCAAAGCCTGGAAGATCTCATTTGAGCCCACCAATCCCAGACCCTCACCATCGATCACCATCGGCCACGTGGGCAGCTCCCAGCCATCTCCTTCGATGGAGTACCAGTTGTGGAGGAAGCAGAGCTCAAGCTCCTAGGAGTCCAGTTCGACACACAGTTGTCTTCCCACCAGCATTTGCGCTCTGTAGCCGTAAGTGCTCGCCAGCAGTTACACTTCCTGAACAGAGCTGCCCCCATCCTTGATGTTCGTGGAAGAGAGCGGGTCTACAAAGTCTTCGTCAGACCAGTAATGGGATACTGCCCGTTGGTCTGGATGTGGGCTGCCACTACAACCCTTCGCCAGCTCGATGCAGTTCAGTCACGAGCTCTCAAGATCATATCTCGTGAGTCATGGCTCCCAAGTCTGGCCCTCCGCCATGCTGTTGCTGCTCACACATACTTATACAAGCTCCAGTGCCTCCCAACTAGCTCACCACTGCGAGCAATGATCTCCGCCGTTGCACCAGACCTGCAAGGGCATCCTCGCACTCGTCAGCAGAGCCGGATTTGCCATGAATTGCAGTTTGCCAAGCCCCACAATCGTCACTCACGCAACAGCGTACAGCGATCATTTCGCTCCGCCATCGTTGAGGATTGGAATCGCCTTCCTCCAGAGCTCATCACAGCACCACTTACTCTACCTCGCCTCCAGCAGTTCAAAGAAGGCGTTCATAAGTATCTGCGATCTGCTGACTGGCATTGGGCCTCTACGCACCTGTGATCTGTGTGTGTGTGTGTGTGTGTGTAGGTGTGTGCGTGTGTGTGTGCATGCGTGTGTGCGTGCGTGTGTGTATAGTGTGTGTGTGTGTGTGTGTGTGTGTGTGTGTATAGTGTGTGTGTTTGTGTGTGTGTATAGTACTTGTGTGTGTGTGTGTGTGTGTGTGTGTGTGTGTGATGTGTGATGTGTGTGATGTGTGTGTGTGTAAATGTGTGTTTGTATAGTACGTGTGTGTGTAATACTTTCGTTTGTGTGTGTGTATGTGTGGCTGTTCGCGTGTGCGTGTGTGTGTGTGTATGTGCGCGCATGCGTGTGTGTGTGTGTGTGTGTGATTTCGGATACCTGCTGCTGGGCGTATGCAGTCAATGTATGGTGTACCTGAACCTCAACATTTTTTCCTTCCATTGAACAACATTCCGTGACCGTGCTGCCGCCCTTATTTCACATTTGCTCTGTAGTGCTCCTGCTCATTTTTTTCTATTTTCGTATTTTTCGGTTTGGCGCGCATGAGCAGTGCTGAGGCCGAGACCCCTGGTCGGTTTAACTGCTCTTGCCCCGCCTCCACTGCATCAGCTGCCATCGCTATGTGCATCTCTGTGAGTTTTTGCCGGCGTTTGCACCATGATGGTTTGTGGTTATCTTGTAAAAAAAGTGTGTGTGTGTGTTTGTGTGTGTGTGTTTGTGTGTGTGTTTGTGTGTGTGTGTGTGTGTGTGTTTGTGTGTGTGTGTGTTATCCCATCACTAGTTGCTGTGTCTAACGTAGCTGTTCTTTACCATTGCTTCTGCGATGGGCAGGTCTGAGATCTGGGATCTGAGGTGTGTGCGTGTGTGTGTTTATGTGTGTGTTTGTGTGTGTGTGTGTGTGTGTGTGTGTGTGTGTGTGTGCATGCGTGCATGAGTGTGTGTGTGTGCGTGCAAGGGTGCATGTGCATCAACATGTGTATGGATGTGGGTATGTGTGTACATGTCTTGTCTTTAATTTGCTGCTACTTCCAGGATGGTGACACACCATTACATCGTGCAGCATATAATGGTCATGTTTCCACAGTGGAATATCTTCTCACTTCTGGACATTCGTTGGAACCAAGGAATAATGTAAGTCAGATTATCCCTGATGCATGCTCGTTTTTATGAGCAGAAAGAAGAATTACGCAGTTGAATACTTTTTTGCGAGTAAACTTCCGTGCCTTCTCTTCATGTTCTGACGTACCTTCTCCTGTACATTGTCTCCTTCCGCATCAACAAGGTAATATAGCGGCATGAGCAAATGAGAGCAAGAACAATGAATTATGTATAGGCATGATGTATATTGGTCACGTATTAATCATCGTTGTTTTTAGCTATTCTGCTTTGACCTGGTTTTATCACTACATTGCTGTACATAATTTATTGTGAAAAAGGAGAAGGACAAAATGTTCCGAGTTATGACTAACTGTCTACCATCGTAACCAGACCTTATACAGTCAATGAGTGCAACCATTTTTTATATATATTTACAATGAACTCAGCTCACAAGCAAAGACAAAAAAATTGCATAGTGGGAGCATAGCGATGGTAAGGCTTTTTGCCCTCAGCCAACCTGAGGTCTCGACGTCATGGGGACATAAAACACACCAAAATGAAAGAAGAAGAAACAGTTGAAAGGAGTGACAGGTACATGATACGAAATGTTAGGAGGAGAGACAGGACATTTCAAGGAGGAAAAGATCACACAGCCAGTGTTAGGTGGAGAATGAGAGAAAAGAAGAACAGTTGTTATTGGGAGGAGTATTTGGAGCGTAATTTAAAAGTCATGGGGTGAGGCAGATGTGATGCTGATACTCAGAGATGGTCATGTGCCCACGACCAGTCGTTGGTCTTCAAAAAATGGTTGGCTGCAACCTTTTAACCCTAGGACGGCCACCACTTTCAGTACTCCTAGAACGGCCAAACGGTGTCATTTGACACCTGCATACATTTCCATGTCTAAGACCTATGATATAGGTTATTATACTTGTTGTTTTCAGTGCTGGCTATCACTAGCGGCATTTATGATGTACAAAACACTTTAGGATTCACCCAGACACTATTGTTGGCTATACGCAATTAAAATATGATGTACGCGTAACGGCAATTGCGAAGGATGAACTCAATTACAGGCAAAACTTCAATTACTTGCATAGGAATGTCTTATAATCACAGAGTTGCAATAACAAGCAATGTGTGAACGTCACTGGGCACGTGGGGAACTGCTTTTCTGGAATATGTGCTTTGGCATATTCGGATTACTCGACCGTCACGATGAATACAACACAGTAACAAATAAAAACATGGCCTGACTATGAGCATCATTGTTTCACCAAGCTGACACATATGCTGCTAGACATGGTTTCAAGATTAGGCTAGTAACGACTGCATTTTAGACTCTTTCAAAGAGGTATACCCTTCTCTTGTCCTTGGCTGGCACTTAGCAACCAGATGCCATGACTAGCTACAAGCTTATTGACCGGTGCAGGTATGAGCGTTTTCTGGATGTGCATGAACTAGCAAAGGTCTGGGATATTGTGAAGGGGTTGATGCCTGTCACATCTCTTCATTTATGTAACCGCCTTGCAGGGGGACATCTTCGGGAGTAGTCTTTGTTGAGTAGATCCACCACATTCGATCGAAATAGTCAAGGACATATCTGGTCTTTTGCTAGAATTGGATTATGTGGGGCTTCCTACTCTCACCATGTAAAACATATGGCTCTAGGTGGTCTACACAAGGCGGACCATTGATAATTCTTGCTACTTCTACTTTCTACGTCTACCGTCTTTGCATCCTACAATGAAAACTGGAAAACAAAATGCAATCCGCGATTATTGGCAATGAGGTTAGATGATAGTTCACTTCAATTTACCAAAGTGGTTCATACTGCAACTCTTTCTTCTCCAACAGTTTCTTGACCAGTAATGCATTGATGATGAAGTTATCAGTTATTACTTAGCAATTAGCTTCTGCAGCATCCGGGGCCACTAAAGAGAGAGAGAAGGCATCCCAGCGGCTGCCTACCCGTTTAGCCTGAAGCGGGGGAGGAAGAGGTTTGGTTCAAGAGCCTCATTAGCTCGTCAAGTAGTTAGAAAGGATTATCTACACAGCTCCATCATTGCGATAATGCGGTGTACCATCTCCAGGTTACAGAGTTGCGATTCCTCTTCCTCAACACTATCTATTTTGGGGTCTCCACCACTCCTGCAACTGTTTCTGACAATTCTTTGTCTGGACTATCCCGCAATCCTCGTCCGCTCTCTGGAGGCTCGTAAACCTCAATGCATTCTGAATCCACAGGTACTCAGGTGTTGTGACCATGCGATTCGCCCTCATATGACAGAACAGATCCACCACTGCCAATGGTCACTACCCTTGAACAGCCATAAAATGAAGATAAAGTGGGCAATTTCGCTTTCATGGTCATCAGATTCATGCATGGTAATAGGCGACATCTATTCTAGTATTTCCTTGGCCGTCAGACCGCGATGGCTCCTCTGGGGCAATTTACAGGAAAATGACAGGGATTGAGCAGTATCAAGGACATTAGCTGAAGAGTGTTTGTGTAATCTGCGCACGAATGGTTACCCGCCCCAAATTCGCGATTCTCGCCCGACGGTTGTATGTTGATCATATATTTTGTCCTGTATTCAGCGATTTTCCTGCCCATACACCTTTCTTTGGTCTGGTTGGCATACGAGCAACTCGATAATGGCCGACACCTTCGAAATGTGTTCATATTGTTTCCATCTAGCTGCAATAATGGCTTTTTATGTGCAGGTGTCAAATGACACTGGTTGGCTGTTCTAGGTATACGTACTCGCCATTATGGTACCTCGTCAATTACAAATCAAATATTTATGGCAGACGAAAGAGGAAGCAAAATTAGGAATAGTCACAAGATTTGAGCTCATTCTGATTAGCCATATTTCGGTAATTCCAAAAGTTTGACTCGCGCGGTGTCAAATGACACCGTTGGCTGTTCTAGGGTTAATGTTGCAAGTTCTTGGTGCAGAATGGACCAGAGAAGTCTCCGGTGGGCAGCTGGATCCAGACAGGGACAACTGTGTGAGGGTAGGCTCGGCACAGGTTGTTTCGGGAACGGACTGGAAGTTCATTTGCCAGTTGGTGTGCATGGCCTTAAAACATCTCTAAATCGTACTACAGGTGGAGTGGACTGGATCGGATTTGATTGGATTTTTGTTTATAGTGGTGACTATAACAGACAATTGCCTAATTACAATAGACCCACTCGAGGGAAAGATGCAAAAAGATATGAATAATTAATATAATAGACTACCGGTATTGGATAGGCGATCATGATACAAGGCTGCGCGTTGCAAGACCATTATTTAAACGCTCGAACATTTGACTTAATGTGACACTACAGCGGCCTTCCAAACAGCGCCACGTCAGATACAGTAATTTCTTGCAATACATGGATGCCAAATGATCTAGACCAAGTCTCGCAAATAAAGGGCTTGATGGGCTACAAAAACCAGTATCGTACACTGAACGCAAAGCTCGCTTTAGCATTCGTTCAAGCCTACCTAATTGGGTTAAGGAAAGGCCAGCAGAAAAACAATTTGATGCATATAGAAAATCTGGCAACACTAGGCACTTTACAAAGGTTTCTCGGCAAGTCAGCGGAATATTGTGTCGATTTCGGAACAGAATACCAATTTTACTGGCAAGTTTGGTGACCATAGAATCAACTTGAGTCCTCCAAGAAAGATCCTGGTCCAAATGTATTCCAAGGTACTTTGCACATGTCACTTGTTTGAGCTGCACTCCATGACAGTAGACTGCAAATTGGTGGTCAGTAATATGTGGCGTAGACAGGAAGAGTGTCTTCCGGGCATTTAGAATTAAATTGCGGTTTGACAGTCAGGTACTAATGGCTGAGACAGCTGCAGACAGGGAGTTGCTAAGCGCATTCTTCTGCGTACCGCAAACATACAATAGAATATCGTCAGCAAATTGAATAACTTTCACACAAAACTCGGAGACAATGGACTGGATCGAACGAACATAGATTACAAAAAGCAGCGGACCAAGAACAGAGCCCTGGGGAACGCCACACATGCAGGGGAAAGGAGGGCTATAGTTCTCAGCAATGTGCACTATTTGGCGACGATTGGACAAATAGTCGGCAAACCAAACTAATGCTGAACCAGATATGCCAAGCTCAAACAAATCTTTAATGAGTACTTGGTGCCTGACCTTGTCAAATGCTTTGGACATATCCACGAGCACAGCTCCAGTAATTTGTCCGGCATCGGGAAAGGGAACAAACGTGTCCGTGACGAAAACTAGAGCGTCTTCCGTTTGAATGTTGACGTCTAAAGCCAACCTGACAGGGAGGGTACAAATAATCCTTGTCCAGAAATGAAGATAGTTGTCTATGGACAATTCGTTCTAACAGCTTCGACACAATTGGCAGGAGAGACACAGGGCGATAATTTCCCGGATCTTGAGGATTTCCAGCCTTGAATACCGGCGTGACATGTGCCAACTTCATGCCGTCCGGCACAGAACCAACAGCAAGAGATGCATTAAATATCAATGTTAAGGAGGGAGCTAGCAAATCAGCGCAGGACTTCAGAAGAAATGCGGGTATTCCATCACTGCCTGTCGCTTTGCTGGTGTCCAAGGAACCCAACAGTTTACGCACACAACCTATTGACGCCGAACTGAAGGATGTAAAACCCTTAGATCCCACTGGGCCCTGTGGAAGACACAGTTCAGGTGCTCGTTGTTGATCACTGGCAACATCAGCAAATACACACCCAATGTTGCTTGCAGAGCATTGTGGAACGGACTGAACACGTTGTCTTCCGGATAACTCGTTCAAAACCTTCCACGTTTTCCTCGGATTACCTTGAACACTGGTGAACTTAGACTGAAAAAAATCGTCTTCAATTCACGGTTCATACGACTCACGATACGCCTGGCTTCCTTAAACGCATCCTAATAAGTCTGGCACTTAGATTGCAGCCATTTCCGATGAGCGTGGTTACGTCGTCGTATCAACAGGAACAAATGTTCATTGACCCATGGTGAATGCTGTCTTGGTCGGGAAGACG